CGGCCTGCTCCGCGGTGGCCCGCCGCAAGTCGACGTTATTGTACTCCAGGATCTGATCGCCGGTCCTCAGGCCGGCTATGTAGGCGGGCGAGTCTATCTGCACGCTGTGCACGAAGATGCCCACGGCGTTGCCCCCCACCAGGCTTATCCCCAGGTCGGAACAGTTGCGCATCTCAATGAGCAGGAACCTGGGCGCGTCCTTGCTGCTCTGCGACTGGCGGAGGGTGGCGACGTCAGTGGCGGGCACGTCCATGCGCAGCGACTGCTGGGGTCCCGGGGAGTTTCGCGGCGTGGGGGAGCCGGAGAGGGACACCTCGTCGTCGTGCGAGCTCTCCCCCGAGGAGGAGCTGCCCGGCACCTCCATCTCGTCCTTGTACTTCTCGGGGCTGTACTGGACTAGCATGGTTATGGAGTTGCCTATCTGGCGCAGCACGCTCGCCGCCAGCGTGTAGGTGGCGGACCTCATGTTGATGCCGCACACCTCCAGCAGCTGGTCGCCGACCTGCAGGCCGACCTGGCTGGCCAGGGAGTTCTCGTTCACGGTGGAGACGAAGACGCCCCCGCTGCTGGGCGGGCAGGAGATCTGTATGCCGAGCGGCTGTTGGCTCTTGTCTATGTGCACCCTGCGCAGCTCGCCGGGCAGCGGTTTATTCCAGCCGAGGCCGCAGTACTCGGGCATAGAGTTTCTGGTGCCCTTGTGCGTCAGCTGTTTCGCCCCCCGGCCCGGGCTCAGCACCTCCACGTGAAATGTCGGCATCGGAGAATTCCTCTCGGAGCTCCTCTCTATGGAGCCGGTGCTCAGCTTCCCCGCCGAGTTCTTCGAGGTCACACTGGGGTTCGACGGTATACGAAACCTCTGGTTCTCTTTTTTCCTGGGAAAGGTGCCGCCCTCGTAGGTGTGGTGGTAGTCCCTGTTGAGGCGGGCGAGGGGCTGGACGTCGGACATGTTGTGCGTGTGGGAGGTGAAGGACTGCATGTCGTAGCTGGTGCCGATGCTCTCGCCGGACTGGCTCTGCGGGATGTTGGTGGGGCTCGACAAATGCGTGTACCTATTGGAAGTGTGGGGGTTGGAGTTGACGAAAGGGCCCCGGTAGTACTGGGACTGGAGCCGCGACTGCGAGGGCAGAGTCCCCGTCATGGGAAAGTTGGCGGCGCTGTTGAGGCTGTCGGGGCCGAAGCTGTCGCTGTCGGAGGGATACTTGTTGACCGTCTTGGGAGATGACTTTTTTGTCGAGTAGTACTGGTCGAGGATGTCCTTGCCGGGATGGTTTTTCATCGCATGATCCAAGGAACTCGGCGACTTCCGCGTGACGAAGTCGAGAGAACTCGGTCCCTTGTTCACCATAAAGTCCAAGGAGTGAGGGCTTTTCGTTCTATTCCTAGTGGCTGGCTGGTAATCCAGGGAGTCGTCGGAAGGGTTCAGCACCAGGCTGAGTCTGTTGGGCGTGACGTCGTGCTCGTAATCGCTGATGGATATCTTGTCCTTCTCCAAGGTCCTGGTCTTGTCGAAGCTGATGTTGGTCGGGGAAGCGAAGGGGTTATGTATGGCGAGGGGGGCGGGCTTGGGGAAGTGCTCGATGTTGGGGGAGGACTCGATGGACTTGTAGACGGAGTGCCTGGCGGGTGCGGTGAGCTGTGTGAGGGGTAGATGTCCGAGGGGGATGGGGTTGGAGTTCCTGTTGGCGCTGGAGCGCTGGGGCTCGGGGGGCAGCTTGGTGGGGGGGCTGAGCAGGATGGAGAGAGGGGGGCGCTCCTTGCGGGAGCGAGGCTGCACGATCGTCCCCGTTGAGTTTTCTTCCAAAATGAAGTTGGCCCGAGCCTTCGGCCACGTGCCGCCGTTCTTAGCGTCGTTTTGTGATTCTTTGTTTTTCCGCCGGGAACGTTTTAGTACACTGCTTGTTTCTTTTACTGAAATAGAACAAGAGGAAATAAATATTATACCTATATAAAGATAATAATTAATCAATGTAATAAACTGTGAAGAATACTGACTGGTCTTGCCGTGATAACTGTCGATGACAGAGTCCAGCTCTGCGATCGCGTCTGATTCCGGCACCTGTATACAAACCACACTTCATACTATGCTCTCTCTAAAATTTCATGTCATTAACAATTGTTTAATATTTAAATTTTTACAATAGTGCATATAAGCAAGTATTTGTACCTTGTTCTGCTTATCCTTGGACTTAGTCCTGCCTGTGACAGCCTCTATCTTGCCGCGGATCATGTCCCACGTGCCTGCAACATGACACACTATGTCACCTCACAACTACGCACAATCGAATCTATACTAAAGAAATGTGTACACTAGAACAAACTGTTTACCATCACTGGTGTAGCATCATTTTTTAACTCTGGTTTTGTTTAAAGAGGATATGTTTTTTACAAGTATTTTGACAGTGAAAACTACTCGTTATTTTAAGATTTCCAACTCTTAATATACTAAAATCTTATAGCTTTATTATTAAGTGAAGGGAATTCACCAATCAACAACGAGTATTAAAAAAAATACAAATAGCATTTTTTATTTATTTAAAGGATACAACGAGGAATATTATTCGACAAAGATTCTAATAAAATTGATGAATGTTTTACTCTACCAATATAAAGTCAAATGACACAAGTACAAGTGTGCAATAACCTTTACAATATATACGGTGTTGAGAAATGTTATCGCGGCAGTTGTAGATCGTCGATATCGCAGCGGACTCATTCTCACACACACATATATATATATATATATTGTTATCAATTTCGCGCACTTTATAACTTTACAGTACAGGCTATAGAAACTAAATCTAACCAGTATCACGATTGGGAATCATTTACTTTTTATAATAACCATAACATTTTATTTATAAAATAATCTCTACAACTTTATCAAATTATTAAAATCAAAACTTTTTCAAAGTATTAATGTTTGAATATAGACGAATAGTAGGAGGCCTAATTAGTAGCTTTCGGCCATTGTTAATTAGGTTTGCAGAAGTTTGGCGAGTGTGATGCGGTGTGATGCGGTGTGATGCGGTGTGATGAGGTGTGATGCGGTGTGATGCGGTGTGATGCGGTGTGATGCGGTGTGATGCGGTGTGATGAGG